TCGCTACTTCTCTGCTGCGTAGCGAAACACGTTATGGCCTTCAGTCGTTTCAGAGATTGTGATTAGTTTAACGTCTATTCATAGCAAGCGATATAACGTGTGCTGTGTTGTGTGGTAGTGTGTGTGTGGTGTGTGTGTGTGTGTGATGTAATGTGTGTGTGTGTGTGTGTGTTGTGTGTGTGTGTCTGTGGTGTGTGTGCGCGCGGTGTGTGTGTGTGCGTGCGTGCGTGCGGTGTGTGGTGTGGATCGAGTCACCCGGCGTTGCCTATCTCAGTGTTTGCTTACTTTTCGCTGCGTAGCGGAAATTAGTATAGCTTCAGTCGATTCCTATTTAGAGTGTCCAACTTTATCGCTGTGCTGGCCGCACAGTGAGTCCTCGTTCATGAATGCTACTCGTGGATTACTTGGTGATTGTTGAATTCGGTTGTTTCTGCGCAAACAGATGTCGTCACGTGTTTGGTGAATTGTCTGCTATTATAAACATCGCTTGTGCTTCTGTCTATTGTAAGCGCGCTGTTATGGTTTTACGTGTTTCGAAGTTTGTGAAAAAGTATGGCAGTAAAGTATCGGTGGAAAAGTATCGGCGGATAGTATTTGGTGGAAAGTAATCAGTGAAAAGTTTATCAGGGGAAAGTATTCGGTTGGAATGGATCGGCTTGGAAAGTATCCAGTGGACTGTTTATTTCTGGACGCGTTTTTGTGTGAATCCTCGTGCTAATATTATTCGCTGTGGCCTGTAATTTTGTTGTACGTGCTGAGTTGTTTTTCCTGTTTCCGTACAGTATTGCGTGAAAAGCATCAGTGGAAAATATTGGTGGAAAGTATCGGTGGAAGTTCATCGGTGGAAAGTTCGATTGGAAAGTATGCGGTGGATGGTATCGGTGGAAAAGATATCCGCTGAATGGATGTTTAATTCTGCGATCTCGTTTTAGCATGTGATATCGCGCTAAATATTATTCGCTGTGGCTTGTAATTTGTTGTACGTGAGTTGTTTTCCTGTTTCGAAAGTATCGGTGGAAAGTATCAGTGGAACCAGTATCGGTGGAAAGTATCCGTGGAAATTGTCATCGGTGGACAGTATCCGTGGAAAGTATCGCTGTACTTGGATGTTATACTTCTGGAGTGTTTTCTGTCGTGAATATCGCGCTAATATAGATTCTCTGTTGCCCTTGTAAATTTGTTGATGTTGAAGTTGTTTTACATACATACATACATACATACATACATACATACATACATACATACATACATACACACACACACACACACACACACACACACACACATACATACACACGCACACATGCATACATACCGCACGCACGCACGTGCGCACGCACGCACACGCACGCACACACACATAGACACACAGACGCACACACACGCACAGACGCACACACACGCACACACACGCGCGCGCGCACGCGTATATCGTTGCTACGCATCGTCGTGAACAAAACACTATCTCACTAACTCGTCGCGTGCGAATAGTTGATCGAGTTTATTCGATTTAACATTCACTTTTAATACTTTTTCATGAAAAAAAGTCGATCGGGTTGTTTGACTTTTAACTGATTTCACTAAAACAACAATCGATGTGATGTTAAACCAACTAGACGGTCGTCAGTCGAATCTATAAGCAGAAATGATATGAAAAATATATCATTATATATTCATATAAATATTAATATAACAGAATGAACTCGCGAGTTTGTAGCATCAATGTACTCTACTAGTGTGCGCTGTAGTCAGAGCATATTGTTACTTGAATCCAATCAGCAAAGCCAAACACTAAATTAATCATTCTCTTGCACACTTACGTGAACGCGGCTTCGGTCTAACGAAGAATATGAGAAACACTGTGAGATGGTGAAACACGTGGAACGATAGACGGGTGAACGGGCGTTCTTTAGTAACCAGCGCGTTGGCAACACTGCCCCGAACCCCGCCCGAAACTCAGCTAACGTGAAAGCTAAATCGATCTACCTGCTTAAACACTTATGCGAACGGATGAAACAGTCGCGATGATTCCAGTAAGGTTGGACAGTAGCCACGTCTCTAGTGTCCACGCGAGGGCAACACCGCCCGGAAGGCGGCGCGGAACTGACTGCTGTTTGAAGCATATATCAAGAAGTTCATGCTAGAATTACAGTACGCCAGTAGGTAGCCGAGGCTTCGCGCCACGCCGACCGTGTCGTGGTAGACGTCAGCAACGCTCAGCAGCATCAGGATGAAATACGGAGCCCAGCAAACGAAGAAAGCGCCGACGACGATGCCAACCGTCTTGGCAAGCTTCAGATGCTTAGCGAGCTCAGCAGAGAAGGATTTTCCGGTCGTTCCTGCCTCCTGCGAACCGCTGCTGCTCGGTTCCTGGTGGATCTGCTGCTGGTGGTGCCTGGCAATCATTATCATGTAAGCGTAGATGGAGGCGATGGCGATGACACACGTACCAATGACTATCGAGCTATATATGAGAGATGTTCTACTAGTGACAGTGTCATACATGCATGGTTGATCCGGCTGCCAGCGGTTGCCAATGAGAGTCATCACGCTTGCGAAGAAGGCAAAGCTCCAAGCGAGGACTACCATTACTAAGATAACGCGCGGTCTGACGATCTGGTAGTAGTGTAGCGGTCGCAATATTGCAATGTACCTGTCTACGTTGATGGCAATGAGAGAGTTTGTTGATGCAAGGGCCGAGAGCGTAACCAATCTGAAGTGTCCAAGGCATATGATCTTTGGCGGGAATTCGATTAGAAAGGTTGTTGGTGATACGAAGGTTCCTTGCACGCCCATGAGAAAATCAGCGACAGCCAAGTTTGCGATCAGCTTGTGTGCCGGCTCCTGCAGGTGTGATGTCCGTGTCACAGCCAAGATGACGAGAAGATTAGCAAGTATGTTGAGAATGCTGACAAGAATGAGCAGATAAGCAATCCACGCCTGAATCGATTTAACCGTTCTCTGCTCAATGTCCGACTCCATGCAGCCGACCAAGCTTCCATTTTCGGACACGGACCCGGAGATGTTGCACAGTGAACCATTAGCTGTCGCCATGATGCAGAAATGAATCTCACCACGCCAGCTCCGTAACACTAATGGCGTACCTCTGCCGCTTCGCATTACATTTATGTGTTTTTATACTAAATAATATCTCTGCCTCTCCCTCCCAGCAATTCTGTTTCTGAACTCCATTTTACTCGCAGTATCATCACGCTACTGTGCCACATAATTAATTGTCCAAATATTACGTCGCTTAGCTAGTTAATTTTCGCGTCGTTCTTTTTTCTGAAGCGTTTATCAAGCGTGATGCTGGGTATTGTTGTACATATACGTGGACGTACCGTGTGAGGCTACTAGTGACATTGTCACATCCAATGAAAGGGACATTAGCCGTTGGCGCGTGCACAGCTTAGACTGTCCCCAGCTGTCAACCCTCCGCCACGAGAAAGCATGAATCTTGGTAATAGTATTCACTAATATGAAACTCGGTGGCAAGCTATGCGATATAGATATTTTCCGATATAGAAGTATTCGCAAAACTCACTGAGAAGATTTTAAACCATATTTAACGGCACATCACACGTTCTTTAGTGTCCAACGCGTTGGCAACACTGCCCCGAACCCCGCCCGAAACTCAGCTAACGTAAAAACTAAATCGATCTACCTGTTTAAACACTTGTGCGAACGGATGAAACAGTCGCGATGATTCCAATAAGGTTGAACAGTAGCCACGTCTCTAGTGTCCACGCGAGGACAACACCGCCCGGAATGCGGCGCGGAACTGACTGCTCTTTGAAGCATATATGAAAAAGTTCATGAAAGAGTTGGAGTCTGCCATCAGATAGCCGAAGCCTGTCGCCACGCCGAGCGTGTCGTGGTAGACGTCGGCGACGCTCAGCACCATCAGGAAGAGGTACGGAGTCCAGCAGACGACGAAGGCGCCGACGACGATGCCAAACGTCTTGGCAAGCTTCAGATGCTTGGCGAGCTCAGCAGAGAAGGATTCTCCGGTCGCTCCTGCCTCCTGCGAACCGCTGTTGCTCTGGTCCGGGTGGATCTGCTGCTGGTGGTGCTTGGCAATCATCATCATGTAAGCGTAGATGGAGACCATGGCGACGCCACACGTGCAAACCACTATCACCGAAAAGATGACAGATATTTTACTCGAAACGGTGTCAAAGATGCATGGTTGATCCGGCTGCCAGCGGTTGCCAATGAGACTTAACACGCCTACGAAGACGGCAAAGCTCCAAGCCAGGACTACCATTAACAAGATAACGCGCGGTGTGACGATCTGGTAGTAGTGTAGCGGTCGCGATATTGCAATGTACCTGTCTACGTTGATGGCAATGAGAGAGTTTGTTGATGCAAGGGCCGAGATCGTAACCACACTGGAGTGTCCAAGACATATGATCTTTGGCGGGAATTCGATTAGAAAGGTCATTGGTGCGATGAAGACTCCTCGGACGCCCATGATGAAATCAGCGACAGCCAAGTTTGCCATCAGCTTGTGTGCCGGCTTCTGCAGGTATGATGTCCGTGTCACAGCCAAGATGACGAGAAGATTAGAAAGCATGTTGAGCAAGTTGACAGGAATCAGCAGGTAAGCGATCCACGTCTGAATCGCGTTAATCGTTCCCTGTTCAACGTCCGACTCCATGCAGCCAACCAAGCTCTCATTCTCGGACACGGACCCGGATATGTTGCACAGTGAACCATTAGCTGTCGCCATGATGCAAAAATAACTCTCACTACGCCAGCTCCGTAATGCTACTATGACGTGCCACGATGCACACTGCCGCTTCGCATTACACTTCTACTATGTTTTTTCACTATACTTAATTACTACCTCCGTCACCCTCCCAGCAATTCTATAAATAAATGCTATTTTCATCGGAGTATCATTAAGCTACTGTGTTATATAATAGTGTCTTCTATTATATCGATTAGCGGCGAGAATTTCTATAGGAACGTTTCGTCCTTTTCTTCGTTTAACTCGCGTGATGCGGCGTATTGTTGTAACTACTAACGGAGGCATGCCCGCCCTAAAAGCTAAATGCTAAAATGGACATTTGCAGCTGGCGCATGGACAGCTTAAACTGTTCCCAGCTGTCCACCCTACGCCACGAGAAAGCAAGAATCTTGGTAATAGTATTTTCTAATTTGAAACTCGGTAGCAGGCTATGCGATATAAACGTTTTTTTTTTATAACAAGAGAGTTCCACGACATGAATAGAAATCAAGTTTTAGACATTTCTGCAAGCGATATAATGCCAGCACATCTAAGGGCACTTGAGTGGCTCATGCAGTACACTTCGATCGTCGTTATGTTTTTAAAGCGACCCAACGGTTTCGGCTACAAGCAGGGCAAATTAGCCCATTGCATTGAATTGTACACGTTTTTTGTGGAAATGGAAACGTTTACGTTCGCAAGATGACCCGAGCCATACCGATGCCGCAGCCGCTTGTAGTCTTCGCTTGTACTTAACGCGATCTATGCGACATGAAAGTTACACTGGCAACCAGGGGTCCGTTGTCAGAAACTTCGTAATAATAATATAGTTATAAAGTTAATGCTAGTGTTAATGCCAATTAAGATAGCACTTACGACTAATGTTAATGTTACGAGAATAGCGTTGACAGAAACGCATCGCAGCTATGAGAAAATTTACGATAACAAGAACTTGATAATTTGATGTCACAATGATTTGGTTTCTGATTGGACACACACACGCGCGCGCACGCACGCACGCACGCACGCACACACACACGCGCGCGCCCGCGCGCACACACACACACACACACACCACACACACACACACACACACACGCACGCACACACGCGCGCACACACACACGCACGCACACACACACGTACACACATACACACACATAGCGCGCATTGCACCACGTGCACGCTCGCACGCACGCACACATACGCACGGCACGCGCGGCACGCACACACGCTCGCACCGCACGCACACACGCAGCGATCGCACGCACGCACACACACACGCTTAGCGCACGCACGCCGGCACGCACGCACGCACACACAACACGCACACACGCACACACACACACA